ATATATATATATATATATATATATATATATAATTTTATAAAATTTAAAGAAATATTTATGAAGTATAATGGAATGTAAGTACGATGTATATTTCACTATATATCTTTATACAAGTATAATACAAGGTATTATAGTGAAATAGATGCTCACCACTTTTAATAAGCTGTAAATAATGCATTATTTGTTTCGTGGCTGCGCCAGCCGGAACATGTTCTATGATTAATGGTAGAAGAGTCTACAAAATGACAGCAGCATTAAGTATAAACAAACAATCGAATTAATAATGAACTGACATTATTATATATAATTCAAATAAATTATATGATTGTAAAATTCGTGATTAATTCTGAAACAAATTATCGTTATTTAATAACACTAATAATAGAGTGTTCCCCTACAGTACAAAGTTGTACAAAAGTCGCAGCAATATTGTAGAAATTTTGCAGCCATCTTGCAAAGTCTGTGCTATATGTGGGTTGTAACAAATGAGTTTACTATGTGATAATTATTCTTATTTTAAATTTTACAAAATAATTATTAGGTATTTTAATGGTAGTGTCGTACAGTATTAAGCTGATCTTTGTCGAATCCGGCGATTAAGAAGAGCAAATTAGCGCACAAGGGTTGCGTAATAGCGTCTTCCGCGCATACCATTTTCTGGAACTGCTTTATCATTTCGTCGGTAGGCGCGAATTCGTATATACCGATTAATTTTAACAGTCCCTGCAACGAGACGTTTACTTCATTAAAAAAAGAAAAAGGTAAAAAATTAATTATTTTATTATCGAATTTAAAATTGCATACGTCTAATGAATTGGAGAACCTTGCCAGAAATTGAAAAATGGGATTTCTTAATCTGCTGCAATAAGCGACTGGTGCCAACGCGAACATCGCCTGGATTTTGTGCTGATACTCTGGCAGTTCCGTCGACATGACGAAGAAAGCAGTGGTACCCTGGCTATGCCCTAGATAAAACATTTTCTCGCGACCAGTGGTCTTCACGATATAATCTATCATGGCTGGAAGATCATATACGCCAATCTCATGCCAGCTATAAGAAAGGTACGATTTTTATAATTTTTATGAATTATTTATCAATTCTCGGTCTGGGATGTATATAACTTCATTTTATATTAGATAAACAAATAGAGATATGGGAAAAAAATTAAAGTTATATATACTGTTCAAAAAAATTATGGTATAGAAAAATTGTGGGCAAAAATAGCCAATTTTAAACGATAACTTTGCAAAAAATTATCGTAGGATAAAATAAATTTTTTTTTTCATTAAAGCTTAAAATCTATTTTAAGACGCTACGGTCAGATTTTAAGTTTGATGCACCCCTGTCACTGTTAATTCTCAAAATATAAGGGTGATGTTAAAACGCATTTAGATTTAAGATATAAATTTGTTTTTGCGTCGCTTAATCGTCATTTAATTGTTGCTATTGATTTAAACTGAACGTCTACTTTTGATAAGGAAATGAGCTGAAAAAAATGGTTCATCTGAATTTCTATATTTTAGCTATTAATTATCATTCTGAAGATATTTAAATAAAAATTCTCATTTAAAATTCTACGTGTAATATATGCATATTGTTGCAGTCTAACAAATATTGTAAAAAGACTGCAAATGTATGATATATTTGGCCAATAAATATTCAATAAGTATCAAACCCACAAAAGTAATACTAAATATCGCGTGACATTGTTAGTGACTTGACCGATAAAAAGAGATATTGTGTATTTTATCATAATTTTTATTGCATCTGTAAAAATATTCCGTTAAAAAATTTTTCATACATTAATACGTATATATATGTATAAACATACATAAATATTTATAAACACATGTAATCATATATGAAATATGTCCATATATATTTATACACATCCCTCTTTCTTTTTTAAAATTACTTTTTAGTTTAATAGAAATAACAATAGTAATGTGAAAAGATAAAAAATAAAGGGATAATTTTTACATTATTCGTTAAAAAATCAAATTTGAATAAATGTAAAAAAAATACTTATGTATAATTATGTATAAAATTATGTATAATTGTGTATGAATAATTTTTTTACACTTTTCCGAACTTATTTTTGTCTAAAATAAATAATGTAAAAATTATCCTTATAATTATTTTTAATGTTTTCACATTACTATTATTTCTCTATTATACTAAAAAGTAATTTTACAAAAGAAAGAAGGATGTATGAACATATATGGACATATTTCATATAAAATTACTGTATGTTTATGAATATTTATGTATGTTTATATATATTTATGTATGTATTTATTTATATATATGTGGGTGGAGAGAAATACTTGACTCATTTTCTTTTATTCCTAAATGAATGCATCCCATTATGTCCCATTATATCCTTTTAGAGTAACAAAATAGAGACCTGGGGCTACATTTTGAGCTGTATTAAAAGAAAATCGAGACTGACCTTTTAGTCGCGCCGCCATTTTGAAAATTTAAAAACAGATAGAAATCATCAAAAACTAATCTAATTGAAAAAAAAGAGTATTTTCACTTAAAAGAGCGTTCAGTTTTCTATAAGAAAATGTCAATATTTCATTTCCAAACTTGCCTTTCATACCCACTAACGATAAGCGAAGAGCGCTGCGATGAGAAAACCCAAAAGTTGCCCTACAATTCGGCAACTAGTTAGCCTACAAGTCTATTATTCGGCATAGAGTCTTTATTCATCAAACTGTTCAAGCTGAAGCAATATGAACGAAATCCATGAAATAAAATGGATGGCATGGAATGCCCTATAATATGATAATAAATAAATACAATACATATACGTGTTTTATACAATAAATTAGAGAAGTAAAACATGGAAGTGTCAAGTCTTTTTGAATAGATCTTGGTATAATGGATCTAGAAATTCTGTGTCCTCCTGCACATTTAATCCATTTTTTTGTTTGTTAATAAAAATTTATTCTAAAATGAGTCGTTTATTATAATTCTTTTCTCTGTCTAAAATCTTTGTGCGAGTCAAAATCATGATTATGCTTCAATTTATGTTCAGGAATTACGGACTTTTGTTTCGTGTTCTTTTTGATAAGATTACGATATTTATCTAATCTGGTCTTGAACAACTTACAAAAGAACTATCTAAGATAACTTTATCGGATGACTCATTCTTATAAATGAAACTTACTGTGGCCTTTTAATATTCTCAATGATATCACAATTTATTCGTGACTATTGTTGATTCTATTACATTTCAAACAAATTATTTCCATCCTTTGTGGCCAATGCAAATCTACCAATACGAATTTACGGCATTCTCATATCGCGAATCTGTTTGCAAGATAGATACGATCTAAATAACAGATATATCTTTCTATCTCTCTCAAGATTTCATCTTAATTTGATTGTTACGTTAGTAATATCATAACGTTAACGTTAATGTCAAAAAATATTACTATGATAAATTACGGGAGGAGCGTTAATGGATTTAATCAAAAATCGCCTCAAGGATGTAACAGTAAATGTCCTTTTTTTCTTTGCTATCCTAGAATTAATTGACAGGTGAGATATACCTTTTTTTTTCTCGTTACGGCGTGCATCATTTACCGTATTTTTTCTTGTTTGATGTGTTTGTTGGATAATATGGATATTTATGCATACAGTAACATTCGTTA